CTAGATGCTTCTGTGACTTTTTCGATAATCCTGTAGTAAAGTAACACTTGGTTCCTGTACTGTAGATCTTGGCTATGATATGTCTGAGTTTATGTAAATGAATTTTTCTGTCCTTTTCCTGTCTTTTGGATGCTATAATCCTTGTCTTGATAAGAAGAATATTTGTGTTTTCAGAGAAAATATTGGCCCTACAATGGGTTTCTGATTCTGTCTCTTGCTTCTGCTTACTTTTCTTTCAAAGGAATAACTCCATCTTTTTTCTTTCTCTTTTTTTTTTTCTTTCTTTTGTTTTTTTAATTTGAGACCCATTAGGACCCTGGCAACTTAACTTTGCATTGATTTTTAAACAGAATTTCCTGTTAAATTCCATGAGGAAATGTGGTTAACAAACAAAGGGCTAATTATCCAGGAAAGCAGCCTGTCTCTCAGTATCTCTAGCTACTCATGTAAACCACAGTGATGCCTGAAAGTTGTCATTCTCAGTTGTGCAAGATAACAGTTCAGATGACAAACGGCAAAAACTGACTTGTTTTCTGTGGTTTTTTGTTTAATTGGTTGTTGGTTTTTTTTTTTCTTCCTTTTGACAGACTGCAATGCAATTGTTCACAAAGGCTGTAAGGAGAGTTTTGCTTCTTGTGCAAAGGTCAAAATGAAGGTAAGAGATTTCATCTACTCTACTGAATAAACAAAAAAGTTTAAACAATTTAGCATGCACATGGAGAACATCATCTACTGTATGCCCCAAAGTTTCCAGCTTGTTGGAAAGAACTTTAGCCCCTGTGCTATAGTGAATAGTGTCTCTGGGCTCTCCCTATGTTCTCCAGAACCACATGCTAATACAGTAGTTGTCACTGGGACTCTGTGAATGCTCCGGATTAGCACCACAGGGTGTTTGTTGGCAGCAAATTCCCCACGTTGTTCCCTGCAGTACACAGGGACCTTATGGTGAGATGGTCTGTCCTATTCTTCGATTAATAAAAAACAAACAAACAAAACAAAAAACCACTTCACTAGCAAAATTCAGAGGTGTCCAGCACCCTTAAATGCCATATCTCTTAATTCTCAAATGCTGCACCCTGTAATGCAGCATCATGTGTACATAATATGTAATGAAATCTATTAAATATGTATGTTGTTTGTATGAGGAACATGCAGAATTCGTGCTTGCCCCAAAGGTGGGGAACCTCTTCTGCAGTATGGTCTCCAAGCTAGTTAATGTTTATACAGTTATGATTCTCAGTTTCCTTCAGTGTAGTCAGCACTTTATCTTCTTGTTTTCCTGTTTGCTGCACATTTCTCTGTCTGTTATTTTGCCCAGTTCATTGAAGGCAACTGTGGGGCCAGTGCGTATGTGTGTTCGCATGTGTATATATGTATATATAAAAAATACACATACAGCTAAGAACTGATCTGTTCTGAGAGGATTCAGAAAAACCATAGCTTTTTTGGTTTAGTTATGTGGCACAGCCAGATGGGAGAAAGCAGGAAAAAGTTACAGCAAATTTCATTTTTCTTTCAGCCACAGAGAGGGATGCTACAGGCACATGATACCTCTTCATTACCCACAGTAACCATGAGAAACAAAAGTAAGAAAACTTCCTTTCCCTCTGCTTTGGTGATGGTTTGTATCTGCTGTTCTTAATTCTAATATTCAATATTATGAAAGATAAGCATTTATCAAAGCATTGATATTTGACTGCTGTAGCTTGCTGAAGGCCTACAGCTGGTAACACAAGATCTGGAAGATGCAGCCTACATCCATGGGTGTCTGACATCTGAAAGAATCCAACTATGTGTATTATATTAACAGAAATTGTTAAGATTACAAGTGAGGAGGATGCTTATTCAAAATACTTCTTTTTTTTTTTTTTTAAATTAAATAGTCTTGTGCTTTGAGGTAGTGAAAACAAAGTTTAATTTTGAATAGGAGCAATCCTGACAAACTTTTCCTGGCTGTGCTGCAAAATACACTGCAGTGCAGAGGTACGCAGCGTAACCGAGGGTGAAAGATAGGAACGAAATAGCCCACATGGGTTTTGTAGTGCCATGGTTTGATAAGGTTATTTAGTGATAGCTTGGAGATCACTATATGTAACCACACTGTATGATACAGATGTACCCACTGTGGTATTTATAATGAAATTCAGTGGTATCGCTCTAGAAAGCAGAAATGCATCTGAAGAAGGGAAAATCTGGAATTAACATGAAAAGATTAGTTAAAGGTATGTGATAGTATAATGAGATAAGGAGTAGCATTTCTTGATGGTACATACAGATAGAGAAACCTATCTCAAAAAGTTTGACCAGAAGCAGGAAGATGTATGTAATTATAGGCCCAGGGAAATTAAAAAGCAACACAGTAGATTGCTACATGTGATTATTTATCAAATAAAATTAAATTCAGTTTCCCAAGTTTATTTTTCTGGATTGGCAGATGCCACCCAGATCTTTTAGGCATAGTAGTCAGTTCTGCACAGGGTCAGTATTCTTTCCTTTGTACGGCTGTTTCCAACAGCTGAGATCTCCCAGTGACAACTCTAGAAAGAAAAGGAAGTGAATTGTAGAGCCTAGTTTCTTTCAGTCATCATTATCACAGTTAAGAACACAGTTGCATGAGCTGACATTTCTCTGACACTTCCCTTCCAGGCTCTCAACCGAAGGAGCGCCCTCGCTCTGCAATACTTGCCCCTGATGAAAACACCGTAACCTCAATATTCAATAACAGGAGATCACAACAGCCTACAGCACTTTCGAAAAGTGTCTCAATACAGAACATTGCAGGGTAAGGTTTCTCCCTGCATGCGAGTGTGTGTGTATTATCTGATGCTGCAAGCATGGAGAAATTCAGATCTCATTAAAAATACATTTGTATACTATGATTTGTGTTAAAGGTACTAAAGAGGATCACAAAACCAGAAATACCCATATTGTATATGATACCATCAGTTGTCTTCTGCACAATCAGATTGTCTGGGTTAGTTTAGTCATGGCATGAATTTAGAGGCATCTGAGTTGGTCTGGTTATACTGAAGGCTACTTCATAGAGGTGCTCTGGGCTCCAGGAGGAAATTCCCTTGCCTTGGGCTGGGTACTGTGCAAGCATGCGTTTGCAGCTCAGGTATAGTACTAACTTTTATGTCCATAATGATAGGGTAGAGGAACAGAGCTGCAGTCTTCATGGTGTTTTAGAACTGCAGTTTACGTAATTAATTACAAAAAATCATAGAGGAAAATCTACTTTATAGTTCTTAAACTACCTGCATATTGAGCAGTTCTACACCCAGGGCAATAGCATGGACTGGCATGTTCTGGGAAGTTTGTATGTCCTGGCTATTCATGGTGAAATTAATTTCAGTCCATTTTTCTGATCTTTCTCAGAGCTAGCAATGAAGATTCTTGGATAGTGTTGTGGTTTGATGTGCTCAAGTAGTGGCAAAACACCAC